TTATGTGTCCTCAAGGAAAGAGGAGACCACAGCATTATAACACCTGTCTCTGTAGTTTGATTCTTTCCTCTGCCATATTTCTACCATTACCTGATACAGACTTCTATTTTTTTTTGTTTTTAATGCATCCTTGAGTTGAAAATCATGCTTGGGCACTAAAGTTGTGCAGACTATTGCTTGCTAGAAGTATGGAGTTTTGATTCCAAGTCTGAATTTGGTTTGGTTTGGTAGGGATCTTAGAAAGCACCAGAACTATAACTCAAGTGATATTTGCCCAGTAAGTAGACAGCTTGCTTTCAAAGAGATCAGTTGTGTTGATGCAATTAAGTGCAAGACAAAGCTGGGCTACCTTTTGTTTTACTTCAGGGTTTGGTTTTTATCATTAGATTGCTTCTTTCTTTAACTGTGAAACTTACTTGTTCGGAAACTTAGGTTTGTATGAACTTACCCCTTTTTCTTCATCTTGTTTTTCAGTGGTTTGAGGTGGTTTGGTTTTGTTCTGTGAAGTGCTTGACTCCCTGTCTATTTGGTCTCAAACTTGGGTTTAAACTGAATATTTTTCTTGCTAGTGCAGGTCTTCACAGGAGCATAGATTGTGACCTCTTTTAGCTAGAACACCATCCTTAGCACCTTAAACTTAACTTGAGAAGGCTGAAGAAAGTACTTTTACCAGCCTGTGTATGTCTGAATATGAATTAGTATTTAAAATTGCTCTCCAGGCTGTCCTAATATGAAATAAAAAGTACATTTACCGTACCTTTAAATACATGTCTTGTAATACAAGTTTATTACAGAGTTTAACCCTTAAAATGGTTGACTTGGTATCTCCCTCCCATCCACTTATTGAGAATGAGGTTCAAGTAACTTCATGTACTTGGGCAGACCTTGCTGATGTGATTCAATATTTTATGACGTATGGGTATGTAATTCTAACTGCCTGTGCAACTGGAATGTTTGAAGATGATCTATCTCCCTAGTGAGTGTTTGACCAGTGACATACATTACTAGCAATGTTTAATTCTTTATTGGCCTTCCTTTAATAGAGAAAAGGCTTAATACTTGCATATTGATGGCTTTTAATGAGAAGTTAACTCAATATCCTCAAGGAAGATAGTGGTCCCTTCTGGATGTGGCAGGTATGGGACAGAAATGTATAACATAGCATATTTAATCCTGCACAGTCTGATGGCAAGAGGTCTTGTGCTTCTGAAGCAAATCAAATTGGAGTAAAGCTTATTTTCAATTTAGATTAGACTGCAAGATTAAGTATTTCTCTTGCATTAAGTGTACCAGAGAAAGGAACTAATAGAATAAAGATGGGTATTCTGAGTTTAGATGAAGCTGCCTTCAAGAAGTCTTTTCCACCTACTCTGAGGCCTTCTCTGTTGAACCTAGGAATGTTCAAGCTTTTGGGTAGCTGAGGAAACTAAAACACACTTGCCATGTTGTACTCTTTTTCTCAGCTTGCTGTAGGTACAGTAGTGGTAGAGCTGAGTAGTAGTTGCTTAATTTTGCAAGACTAGCAGAGTACCCCATATACAGTAAATGTAAATAAAGCCTAATTTATTCAATTTTAAGCTAAAAATGTTTACAAATGTTTTCCTAGAAATTATTGGGCTCTAAAGTTTTATGCAAGCAGACCTCTCCAGAGAGCAAGGGCTGCTTCTTGAACAGCATGAAAACTTTGCTATTACTATTCCACATCTTATGTTCAGGGGGACTGGCTTGAGAGCAAGTGTTTAAGGCAGGCAAGGCCTCCAGTTAATCCAGACGCTAGTGGTTGAGATTGTCTCTAGGTGTAATTATTGGCCTTTGGTTGTTTGAAGGGTTGATATGGAAAATGTGTAACAATGCTAGTGGTCTTGAACATCATGTGCTGAGGAATATGCTAGTTACTGTAAAGTATGGGAATGTCTTTGTGTTTATCCTAAATACAAAAGGATAATCACTTACACATGTTTCAGTTATCTCCTGTGACCTTCAGAAGGAACTGAAAAAGAAGCTTTCTCTAATGTTGTTTGTGTGTTGTTCTGTATTCAGTGGAATACAGAGCCAAAAATACAATCCCTGTCACAAAGATCCTACCGCTGAATCTGGATGTGCATACAAGTAGTCAAGGTACACATTCTGAAAGACCATATATCAAAGTAGTGCTTGAATTGAGTAGTCTATTATTTGTCAATAGGAAGCTTAAAAAAAGGAAATGCAGTCATCTGAACACATCTGTTAAGAGTATGTATGAAGTTATCATTCTTCATGAAGTCAGACCTGCCCCTGAACTCTTGCAGTAAGTGGCTTTTTGTCGTTTAGGGGACATGTGAAAAAGGAAATGGTAATATGCTGATAGAAGGGGAAGTTTTAGCCAGGAAAGATGTGTTTTGGGTGATGAATGTGTGGGGAAGTAAAGCTTGTTACTTTTTTTCCTTTGGGAATATTCATTAGTGTTTATTTGCAAGTGGAGATTCAGGCTGTGCATGAGAAGACCATAAGCAGGTATTAGAAATCCCATAGGAGACTCTCAAAATGGTCCATGGAGTAAAATTGATTGCCTGTCTAGTTTATTATTGAATTTCATTTTGCATCCTAAATTTTGGAAGAAAAAGGGATACATCTAAACTAGCTAGAAGCTAAGTAGGTACTGAAGTTTAGGAATCACTTTTGGTAGGAAGTTGTTAAAACAGACATTTACTTGGGATGTCAGCATTTCTTACCTCAATTGAGAAGCTGCTGGAATAACACCACTGGAATACCTGTCAAGGTATGCTTTAGTTGTATAAGTCTAGTTTGATTTACTTAATGTGTCAGAAACACCAACTGAATACTCAATCAACAAAACCAGCATAGCCTTAAAAATAAACCAAAGTTTCTTGTCAGGTGTTGGCTTTCTGCAGCCCATTATTCTTTGGAGAGGAGAAGTAAAGCATTTCCCTTGCTTCAGAGCCATCCCTAACTAAATGTGCTTAAAATTACAGAAGCAGTGACTAAATGACAGAGTAATGTGATGTTAAGTAACCTTTTGATGCCTGAGGACAGTGAGGTGCACTGTCTGATGCTTATAGATAATGTTTTTTTCAAAATGGTAGCCTTTCATTCATATTCTGGATAGGTTTCTATTGATCAGATTCATCAGTCTTGAAGCAACTAAAAATTGCCTTAGATATTAGTGGTCTGTATTATCTTACTTTTCTGACCTGCATCTGGGTACTGGTCTGGGTTAACTCTCCTGAAGTCATCACTTAGCCTGGGGCTATAATGTCTGCCTCTCATCTTCTAAGAAAGATTGCCAATTGAATTAGGCCACTTTGAAAAGCTTTTATGGCTTTGATATGGGTTGAAAGCTGCTGCAGATGAAATTTCTCATACCCATTACAGTTGAGCATTATTCTGTTTGATTAGTCACCCTTGGCGTACAGATAGGATTTGAAAGTAAACTGTCTTTAGCAAATTTATCATTAATAATTCACATTTTTATTATTCTTGTATGTATTGTGGATGTCTCTGATACTTCATATACATAGAATTGTAATGAATACACATATACTTCATTGGAAGGTTTCAAAAAGGAGTCATTCATTAGCAAGACCAGAGTTCACGTATTTAAACACTTAATACTGTGATACTTTCTACTAGAAAGTATCTAAAACTGCAGCAAGAATGTAGCTGGACTTTTCTGATGGGAACTAACAACTTAAAGCAAGCGTTTGATAGAAACAGACCTTACAGTCTCTAAAAGCTCTCAGCCTCTGTAAAAACAAACCACTTCTTTGTTTGAGTATTATGGCATTGCTTGAAGAAGGTGTATTGGGTTGTACATGCTCTCAAGTATACAAATAGGTCTTTAACAGAATTGGCTTAAGTTCTGTTTTCTTTCTGCGAGTTTTAGAGAAAATACTTCATCAAACAGTGTTAACCGCTTTCTTGTACTCTGAATTCTGTACCTCATACTCATAACTCATACTCTGTACCTCATAAGCTTCTTTTGCTTAGTCCCCAAAATAAGCCTGTTACCGGGAGAATGATGTTCTTTGTGTAAAAGTGGATATGTGCATTACTGTTACCTGTAACTTTCTCTAATATGCACTTGGTTACAGAAAATATATTCTTACAATGTTAGTATCTTCCCAAATCCCTGCTGAGGTTTACTTGTTTATCAGGAAAAGAATTGCTCCCATCCTCATGCTAATTACACCTTTCAAACTCATTTAAACTCTCAGCCACTTCAGTGATCATTTTGACTTCTCAAATATGTTTTTCTTTGCTAAAAATAATGTTCTTTATATCTTTTGATCTCTGAATCATTCAACATACTTGTTTCTCAGCCTGTTCTTGGTAATTCAAGAGGGTCTCAAATCTTTTCATTTTTGTAACAAAGTTGGAGTGAGAAGAGTTGACTGGGTTTAATTCTAGGCTGGAAATTAAAAAAATGCTTTTGTTTTTTCTGTTTGTATTCAAATCAAGCATGTTTGGCTTCAGTCAAGACATGATCCAGACACTGTTTGCAGAATGAATGTCTTAGTTTGGGTGTGTTTAGTAAGTTATTGTGCTTTTACATCTATGAATTTAGATTCAAACCCCAAAGAATTATACTGAAAGAATTCATTTTAAGGTAATTACAGGTTTCACAACTTGAGCTGAAGTGATTTAAGAAATTGTTATTTCTTAGCTATGGTTAGAGCATCTCAGTTGTAGGGTTAGTAACTTCATGTAAGTGCAAAAACTGTTGGTCTTAAATAGCTTTTAGTGCTTAGAAATGGGACAATGACAAGGGCCAGTACTTTATTTCAGGAAAAGCAATTTTCAGCTGGTGAATAAGTGATTGATTTGATGGGATAGAGCTTAAATTATTCTACCTAGTTCTTGTGAATCTAGTTAGATTTTTTTTCTCATCAGATGTTGAATCTTTAAAACACTGCTGTGGGAAGGAGTAATGAACCATTGTTTTAATAAATCATTGGAGTCCATATATTTAATGATCTGATGACAATTTCTTTTCTCTCTAGAAGTACACTGTAACCATCCTGTCCTTCAGCTGCTTTCCCTTGAGTGGGCCTGGTAAGTTTCTATATTCTATTTAAAGTAGTCTTATCAATGCAAGAAGGGTTAACTTATTTTCAGCCATTCTTCTCCCTTCGAATGTAAATATGGAGTAAGAATAAGGCTTTGCCTCAGTTCAGCTGTTGTTTGTCTTTTTATAAGAGCTACCCAGTTCTGTTTGGAATTGAAATGTCCAGTATCTATCTATTATTAACAAGAGCCAACTTGTGCCCAGGTGGCCAAAAAAGCCAGTAGCAACCTGGCTTGTACCAGAAATAGTGTGGTCAGCAGAACCAGGGAAATGATTGTCCCCTTGTACTGAGAACTGGTGAGGCCACACCTGCAATCCTGTGTTCAGTTCTGAGCCCCTCATTACAAGAGAGACATAGATGTGCTGGAGTGTGTCCAGCAAAGCTGGTGAAGGGTCTAGAGAACAAGTCCTGTGAGGAGGGGCCGGGTGGGCTGGGGTTTAGCCTGGAGAAGAGGAGGCAGAGAGAAAACCTTACCATTCTCTAGAACTACCCAAAAGGAGGTTGTAGCGAGGTGTAAGTCTCTTCTCCCAGGTAACAAAGGATAGGAGAAGAGGAAGTGGCCTCAAATTGCTCCAGGGAAGGTTTCGATTGGATATTAGGAAAAATTTCTCTCCAAAAAGGTTGAGCATTGGAACATCCAGACCAGTGACATGGTAGAGTCACCATCCCTAGAGGTCTTTAAAAGATGTGTAGATGTGGCACTCATGAACATAGTTTAGTGGTGGACTTGGCAGTGCAGCATTAACAGTTGGACTCAATCTCAAAGGTAATTTCTAACCTAAATGATTCTGTGATTAAGATAAACACAGAACATCCCCATTCCTTTGTATCTGTACTGCTTAACAAAATTTCTAGGATGTTTTCTCCAAAGCTGTGGTATTGCCATTGACACTGGATGGTTTCTTGATTTGTTTCAGGGCCTCTGTTTTTGAGAATCTTGGCTTTCTGCCGAACCTTGGTATATCAAAATTACGACTGACTTCTATTTCATGAAGTACTGCATGTTGCAAATCTTATTTTCAATAGTTATTTGGCAGGAAAAAAAAAAGGATTACTTCCCAGTTGAAACAGGACTTGCTGTAAGCAGTTTGCTGGGTTTCATGTTGATGTGACTGTACAAAGCTTTGACATCTCATTCTATGTGTTCACGTCTTGAGTATGTTTTGTTCCATTTCGTTTAGCTGTAGCAGTGCCGAGCTTTGCTACATCCTGATGTCTGCAACAAGGCAGCCGTTCTAATGAAAGCTGAAATGTTTGCCCTTTATTTAGGTGAAGCAATTAAAAGTGAAGTATATTGAATGTTTTCTCTATCCAGAATGAAGACAAATGTAAAGATGGCATGTCCAAGGAATTTTAAAAGGTGTAGACCTCCTGACTGAGCACTGCTAAGTATTTATTCTCTTTAATTAGTAAAGTAAGTATGAATAAAACCTGTGCTGCTGGGGGTTAGGTGTGTCATTTATATATATATATATATATATGGCAATATTGGAAAATAACAGGTTGGGTTAGCTTCACTTTAATTCTGTCAGTATGCTTAATGCTCTTGATGAGAGAAGATGGGAATTATACGTAAGACTGTATAAAGCAAAACTGGTTTTGTGGGAATTTTTGTTTTTTCTTCTTTAATTGAGTAACATGGTTTAATGTAGTAGAAAATTCTAAATTACAAGAGCCATCATGTTAATATATTGATTTGATTTTTTGGGATTCTTCTTAAATAAGAAATAGCTTTTGCTATATGTTTAGGATGCTGCTGAAGGGCTGCTGATAGTGTGCCAGACACTTCCTTAACTTACACCTGCTTGTGTTTCTGAAGAGCACCCAAATGTTTGGTCAGAATACATTTTCTCCTGATCTCTGATGCTATGTTCACTCTTCGTTTAAACTTTTGCATTCCAAGTAACTTTCTTAAAATAAATAAGGTGATGGCTAGAGTTAGGTGCCAGCAGTTCTTGGATCCTTTTGCTATGCTCTGGATGTTAGGGCAAATGTTACCCATTTCAAACTGGGGAAACGGGAATAAGCTTCAAGTGTTTAATGGTGACAAAAATTGGCTTTATCAATTCTCTAAGAATGTCTTTTCTTTCTTTTTTTTCTCTACCAGCTGCTGTTCTCTCACAGGTGAAAGTCATGATCACGCTAACAGAACTCAAATACTTAGCAGATGCCCAGTCATCCTACCACATACTAAAACCATGGTGGGATGTCTTCTGGTATTACCTCACCATGATAATGCTGCTAGTTGCCGTACTTGCTGGGGCTCTCCAGCTTACTCAAACCAGAGTATTGTGTTGTCTTCCTTGCAAGCTAGAATTTGACAATCATTGTGCCGTGCCTTGGGATTTAGTTAAAGCCAACCTTAACATGTCAGCTAGCTCTACAGCACAGATAATCATCCCTCTTAAAATCCAGAACGATCTCCATCGGCAGCAGTATTCCTATATTGATGCAGTATGTTATGAGAGAGAGCTTCACTGGTTTGCCAAGTTTTTTCCATACCTAGTGCTTCTGCATACCTTTATTTTTGCAGCTTGCAGTAATTTCTGGCTTTACTACCCTAGTACAAGTTCCAGGCTTGAGCACTTTGTAGCCATTCTTCAGAAGTGTTTTGATTCTCCATGGACAACGCGTGCCCTCTCAGAAACAGTTGCTGAGCAGTCTGTGAGGAAGTTGCCAATAGCCAAATCAAAAGCAGCGATTTCACCTCCTGGGAGTTCAGTAGATATAGGGGCCAGCAGGCAGTCCCTGCCATATTCCCAACCTGGCTTGGAACCAACGGGAAGAGAAAATTCCTCAAGTGTTCTTGACAAAAAAGAAGGGGAACAAGCTAAAGCTATATTTGAAAAAGTGAAGAAATTCAGAGTACACGTTGAAGAGAAGGATGTCATATATACAGTGTATATGAAACAGATTATAGTGAAAGTCATTGTATTTGTAATAATAGTAATTTATGTCCCCTACTATTTATCATTTATTACACTTGAAATTGATTGTGTAGTCAATGTTCAGGCCTTCACAGGGTACAAAAGGTATCAGTGTGTTTATTCACTAGCAGAGATTTTTAAAGTTTTGGCTTCATTTTATGTTGTTTTAGTGATCTTCTATGGCTTAACTTGTACTTACAGTTTGTGGTGGATGTTGAGAAGTTCACTTAAGCAATACTCTTTTGAAAAACTGAGAGAGAAAAGTAATTATAGTGATATACCTGATGTCAAGAATGACTTTGCATTCATTCTCCACTTGGCAGATCAGTATGATCCTCTTTATTCCCAACGATTCTCAATATTCCTGTCTGATTTGAGTGAAAACAAACTGAAACAGATCAATCTTAACAATGAATGGTCAGTGGAAAAACTGAAAAATAAACTAGTAAGAAATTCCCAAGACAAGATTGAGCTCCACCTTTTCATGTTAAATGGTCTTCCAGACAGCGTCTTTGAACTGGCAGAAATTGAAGTCCTAAGCCTGGAACTTATTCCTGAAGCCAAACTTCCTTCAGCTGTGACCCAGCTAGTCAATCTCAAAGAACTTAATGTTTATCACTCGTCACTAACTATGGATTATCCAGCAGTCAGTTTTTTAGAAGAGAATCTGAAAACATTGCGCCTCAAATCTAGTGAGATGGGAAGAATTCCATTTTGGGTCTTTCATCTAAAAAACCTGCAAGAATTGTGCTTAACAGGATATTTCATGCTAGATCATCACAATTCCATATATAATGAAAGCTTTCAGGGGCTAAAAAATCTGAGATCTATTCACTTAAAAAACAACCTTTCCCGTATACCTCAAGTGGTTACAGATCTTCTGCCTTCTTTACAGCACTTGTCTATCAACAATGAGGGGAACAAACTGATAGTGCTAAATAACTTGAAGAAGCTGCTCAACCTGAGAACCTTAGAATTAATCTGCTGTGACTTAGAGCGCATTCCCCATTCCATTTTTACCCTCAACAATCTGCATGAAATTGACTTAAAAGAAAATAATCTCAGAACAGTGGAAGAAATAATTAGTTTTCAACACCTTAAGAACCTTTCTTGCTTAAAGTTGTGGCACAACAGTATTTCCTATGTCCCAGTGCAGATTGGTGCATTATCAAACCTGGAACAATTGTATCTAAATTATAATAATATTAAAAATGTTCCATTGCAGCTCTTTCTTTGTAAAAAATTACACTCTTTGGATCTTAGCTATAATAAGCTAACCTCCATCCCTGAAGAAATTGGTTATCTGACCAATCTGCAGTACTTGGCATTGACAAAAAACCATGTAAGTAGAACTTTGAATTACTACTTCAATCAGGTACTGACTTAACCTACCGTATTTTTTCTGGAGCAGCCTCTGCTTCAAAATGCTTTTGCAATGTTCATGATTAAAGTAAAGCTGGAAAAAGGGGTGGTGCTTGTTCAATCAATATAACTTTGGTGTCATCAAAGCTTGTATAATACTAAATACTACCCTGGTCTGTCGCAGCTTAAGGGCTCTGATCCAGAGATAGATTTCTGTAGTCATCCTAACCTGCACTATCTTTCCCTGCGGCTGTCTATCCTATGTAGTATTTTAATGGAAGTGAACAGTGTTCAATTGTTACTATCAAATGTCAAGCTGAAAGCTGTAGTGCATCAACAGCTAGCTGTCTGGGAAGAGGGAAATCCTTATAGCTGTAACCTCATTAGCAGTCCTGAGCAGTCTGGCTCATTAGTATCGGGTCCAGGCTTGTGACTGAGGGCTTCTTTTGAGGTTTGTAATTGGTTTTTCACTGGTGAGATTGGTTTTGGATGGACTGGAGTTACTACTGTATTGTGCAGATAACTGGTGGTACAGGTTTCACAACACAGGAACTCCTAATGTCTTTTCACAATCTGTATTTTTTTCTTCATTAACTGATTCTTAGGAGATAGTAGTCTATTTCTCCCCTGCCACCTGTGCATGCACGTGTTTTGTATGCACTTCTGCATATGCACTCATGTATATGCTTCCCCTGTCATGCTTATGTCTTCTGCCAAGAGCTTAGCGTCTTAATGAAACAGGTATATAAAACCATCCTAGTGTTCTCAAGCAATTTATCCCATAATGGTAGAAACATTACAACCTTCCAATTCCTTATCCTTCCATAAACTAAGAGGGCTGGGGTTCTTTTACCCTAAAATATAACTGGGAAATGTTAAAACATGCAGCTGCATGTACGCTAGCAACTTCTAATGTGTATTTTTGTTGTTGTTTTCTTTTTCTAGATTGAAATGCTGCCCGATGGATTATTTCAGTGCAAAAAGCTGCAGTTTCTTCTCCTGGGAAATAACAGTCTGATGAATTTGTCCCCTTGTGTGGGTCAGCTACTGAATCTTGTTCAATTAGAGCTCGTTGGAAACTATCTTGAATCACTTCCTGCTGAACTGGAAGAATGTCAGTTCTTAAAGAGGAATAGTCTTATTGTAGAAGAGCGGTTGTTAAAAACACTTCCACCCCGTGTAAGAGAGCGTTTGCAGGCAACTTCAGATAAGTGCTCAGTTTAAACTGGAACTCTGCATCATTGCAGTCTGTAAGCCTGTGTATCTAAAGGGCTCCATAGGTGAAGTGAGAGAGAACAGTTTACAAATCAGTCTTAAACTTAAATTCATTGAACTGAGTTGATTGTATTGGAAAAGACAAGTTTACTTAGATTCAGGAAAAAAAATGCAGCCTTTAAAAGGTAATCATATGTTTGAAAAATCTGAAATATGAATTGTTGGTTGGCTTCTACTGGTTGAAATAACTAAATGTTTATGATGATATTGAAATGGAGGAGTTGATTGCCTGGCTATAGTGAGGGTGTATATACTTTTTTCCTATGGGAATTCTTTTCTGTTGTTAGTGATAATTTTAAATAGCTTCATCTTCTGCCACATGAGGTCTAAGAACTGTCTGGAACTAGTTTCTGAATGTGAACTCTTTGCTAACTTAGAATATGTTAAATTAAGAATTTAAACTATTTGAGCAGTTCAATTGCATGGGTCATATTGAAAGTAATTTTTCAGCATACCTTAATTTTAAAAGCTTTTGACAAGTACTGAGCATAAATTCTATAATTATGGAAGTTGCCATTTGAATCGCGCTATTAAAACCAGTTGGACAAAAACATCTGAACACAGTTTCAGTATTTTGTCTTAAAAGTAGTAAATACAAATTGAATTGTTGCCTAGAAATTGGGAAGAATCAGAAGAATCTGCAACAACTGTTGTGCATATGTATGAGACAGCAAATCTTATGGTACTGATCTTCATAGGTAATGATGGCAATCTAGTTGCAGGGTTGTCTTCTGTATGTTGTGAGCATCGCAGGTGTTAGTGTAGTGTATGTGCTGTTTAACATGTTTTATAACTTCTCATTACTGACTGCCTCAGTCCTCCATACCCAGTTACTGTGTTCTGGTGTCTGGGGAGAGGATGAATAAAGTTGATGTTAGTGACAGACACAGTTAAGCTAGACAGTCATGCAGCTTACACTTGGGAGGGGAAACCAGGAAGCATTATAAACTTTGCCTCTTCTAGGGATATAGTTCCATAGATCATAGTGATGGAATGAGCTCTTATGCCATCCTTAATACTTGCAAAACTGGATGGAAATAAAATGGTTCCTGACTTCATTCTTCTGCTGTGTGCTCTTTTATTGTATTGAAGTCTTAACTCTCACGATATTTAAACATGTTCACAAAAAATATAGGTGATACTCCTGGGCAAAAAAAGGAAGCATGATTTCCAAAAACGTATTTGACTTTTTATAATAAATTTTCAAAACCTATCTCAATAATGGGTTAAATAGATGAGGTAAACTGTGTTCTTAATGCCTGTGTTCATCAAATATGCATTCCAGTTTGTAATATCAAATCATCACAGATAAACCAGTTTTAGTACTAAGATTACTTTTAGTCATCTCTTGCTCCCGTCCCAGTGTCCCTCTTGTGAAGAGTAATGTTTACTTGGAATGAAAATGCCAAAACCAAGTCTGGTCAACATGGAAGTTAGAGATGTCTCTGCAGTAGCAGTGCAGGAGATGCATGTTTGTTTACTGTACTGATGGCATTCCAAAGACCTTTGCAGTTAGAGCACTTTTCTTCTCAGGGAACCAAAATGTGGTAAACCTACTACTTTTTATGTAGTTCTAGAAATGTTTTGTGTAAGCTGGTAAGTTGTGTTTACGTGCAGACTTGTGTTGCTGGAACGGTCTTTTATAGCATCCATATGTAGCTCTTCCAAACTTTTTCAGCTAATCTTGAGTTGTTTAATAGTTCCATAGGAATTGACATGGTTCACAAACAGAGCTAGTTGTCATAGATGTGATGAAACCAGAGTGCATTGGTGTGCACCCCTGTGTCAAGAGTGGTGTTAATAATTGTAGCAGGCATGTCAGGACTTTGTAACTTAACACTGAAGAGCAGCACTTTGTGCCAGAACTTGACACACAAGACTTGACAGACCAGTGGCTTTTAAAAAATTAAGCAAGCATTGGCTTTAAAGCTTTTTTCTAAATTGGGAATCAACAAGAAGCAAGCAACTGGCTTGGTCAGAAGCTTTCACTTCTTAGCTGTGCACCAGTCCTTTTCCATAACCAATAAAACTGATGCAGATGAACAGTGATCTTAAATGCGCAGTTTGGGCTAGTTCTGCCAGTGAAATAACAGAAATAACTGGGAGAGAGGTACTTCATTTCTAAATTGTGCAACCTCAAAGGAGTTGAGGAAACACTAAGAAATACATAAGAATGTAAATACTGTTTTATACGTTAAATGGATTACACTTCTTTTGCAGCTTTAATATTTTTTTCACTCCGTACCCCCTCAAGGGCTGTTTTGGTTTTTTTTTTCCCCTGCATGTTTGAGTGTTCATAAAACACCCAGACAAACCCCAGAAAGTGTAAAGACTAGAGTCTCTAGCCTTGCTTTCAAACCACAGTGTGCCTTTATAATCAGTTTTGTACCATGAAGCCCAATCCTAGTGCTTAGAATTGAAGGTAGAGACAAATATAACAGAACTTGTTGAATTCACTTCAGCCATAACCTTAATATTCAATATTTCTTTGAAATGAGGGGGATCTCAGAATCAACACATGAATTCACTGTCATAAGCTTTGTATGATAAGTATTGTTGGCATCTAGTCTTTGTTATTAAACAATTGCTTCCAATCAACAAAAGGCTTTGCAACTTGTGTGTGTTGTGTGTAAAAACTTTGTATTGTGATCTTCCGTATCATGACCATTTCTTTTGAATAATTAAATTTTTTTTGGCATTAAAATTCTATGAACTGTTCTTTATTTTCCATAGGAGATGTTGCATTTAATGCAAAAGGTAGAAGTCTGCTTCTGGCTGTCTGCACTGATGTGCTAGCCTGCTAGCTCTAGTTGGGAACCTGGGTTTAGCTCTGTGTTTTAAAGATAAAGGAAAACCCCCAAAGTGCAAGTGATGTTATGTATTCAAGTGCTAGCTTCTTATCTTTCAAAATAAGAACTTTCCTAGTGAGTTTTAACAGAACTGTGTCCCTTTCTTCTTGTAGATGAAATGAAATAATTAATAAAAAAAATGACTTGTGGTTTACCTGTTCTGAGATGGGATTGTTAGTAAAATAAGGCAGGTGATTCTTCTTAAAGCTCTTACATGGATCTGCAGGAGCATGGAACATGGATTTTGTTTTCATGACAGCTTATTGTAGTTCTAATGATTTATTCTTGTAGCCAGTAGATTTACATCATACTAACAAACTTCCTGGGTATGTAGACTTCCCATCTTCAAGAATGTGACCTGAAGTTCATTCTGTAATTGCTTCTAATAAGTGACTCTTTCCCCTTTTCCCTTTCCACACCAGTAAATGCTGGGATTATAGAGAACAATATAGGAACAACTGAAGAATTCTACTAGCAAATACATGGCTTCAAATGCTGAAAGCAGGAGGCAGTACATGACGTACTATGGATTGTTTATATCAAGGATTTTACGGAACTTTAGGTATTTCTAGAGATCAGGAATTAATCAAGCTCTTGTGCTTTATTTGGCCTTGCTGGGTGTGTGAGTCCTTACTGTGCTTGCACATTTGAATGTGTTTACCAGAGAGAATCCAGAGACTGTGTGTTTTACTGGCTGTCATGATGGAGCTGACAGCTAATGTAGGCTGTGGCAACAGAGGAGGAATTGTAGTGAGCTGATAGGAAGAAGCAAGCAGTGATACTGAAGTCCTATATACTTGTAGGATACAGCCAGGTCTTGGGAACTCCTGTGTCTGGAGAAGCTGCTCTGCTGGCATTACATGAAGAGTTTATTGCAGTCCTCCATTGCTAGGACACATAGGTGATGGAGGGGAAATTAGCAACCCACTCCAGGGCTGGACTGGCATTTGAAAGGGTTTAAGCATTAACTCATTCTAGTGTGTTTAGTAAATGAACTATTACATCTTAGTGTTGTTGCTTCCTTCTTTTCCCTCATTTACATGAATATCTGTTCTGTCTTTATCTAACCTCTAGTGACTTAAAATCTAGTTTTATAACTTTGTGCAAGTGTCCTCTCTGCTAGGCAAGACCTGGATAAAAGATTTCCGGGCAGTATGGATACGCAAGCCATATGAATTTAACACTTGGTGAGGTGAAGAAGAGAGGATGAAAAGTGGTCAACCTGCAGATAGAGGTATAAAGAATAATTGCTCAAAGTAACAGGGAGATGTCTAAGGGATCATTATTACTACTTAGCCCAGCAAAGCTATTGGTAAGTATTGCTTGCTAGTATGGTGCTTAACACAGTGAGGTATTAGTCTATAGTGCTTGTGGACATGCTGTTAAACAGGCACTTTTATTACTTGCTGTTGCTTTTTACCTCTTATAAGAATGTTATGTATAAATCTACTGGTACAATTTATAAAACTTATAAAAGTTTGAATAAAACTTTTCCCTCCATACTTCCATACGGATGTATTGCAGAACCAATATGTCAAAAAATGTTGCAAAGCAGCTAATGTAATGAGTATTTGAAAAGTGTGCAAGGATGGAAACTGTAATAGGAGGTACATAGAAATGCCAGTCACTGCATTCACACTGGCCTTGCAATTTGAAAATCTCATAAGTCATGATTAAGGTTTATTATATGGATGAAAAAGGGAAAAGGAGGAACATAGCTTGCTGATTTTCATTGAAAACATAGCTAACCTGCAAGGAAATAGTGAGTTAACTGATGATTTTGAATCGGTCTTGCTCAGAGGCAAATCTGAATAAAGCTGTGCATGAAAAGCTGGTGGTTTTCTTTGTGTTTTTTTTTTTTTTATTGGTCAAGTTTCTTATCATAGCTAAAGGTGCTTAACCATTCTGCAGCAGTACAGGGGAGAGGTCCCAGGCAAAAGCCTGGCAAAACACTACTTGATTGTACTCATTTTCTGCTGGCATTACAAGCTGAATTAGTTTGGTACAGTCTGGAAAGTACCAAAGTCAGTAGGAGAACAGGTCAAAGAGCAGTACCTCCCCTTATGACGATTGCTTAGGGTGCAACTTTGCATGTGTTTGCAAAGTAATTATCATGGGCTGCCCTTTTTTTTTCCATATAGTATGTTATTGCAACCAAGTGATCACATGGTCACAACTTTTTACATGGGCTATAATATATTATGTGCATATATGCACATATGTAGGTACTGAATGCATATTTGGTGTTAAATAGGTCTAGGGCACAGTAATATACTAAGTATGTTTCTCTAAAATAAGGTATTAAGTGAAAATTGTAAGAACAGAAACATTGGATATCACATATGCTCAGTTACTTTGGCTGTAGTAGTTGCCTGAAAATGTAGAAGTGGGAGAGGAGCTAATCAGACTGACCCCAGGGGTATCCTATACTGTATGATGTCATGCTTGGCATATAAAGCTGGGGAAGAAGGAGGAAGGGGGGAACATTTGGAGCTATGGTGTCTGTCTTCCCAAGTAACTGTTAGCATGGTGGAGCCCTGCTTTCCTGGAGGTGGCTGTGCTCCTGCCTGCAGTGGGAAGTGGTGAATGAATTCCTTGTGTTGCTTTGCTTGTGCACAGCTTTTGCTTTACCCATTAAACTGTCTTTATCTCAACCCTCCAGTTCTCACTTTTACTCGTCTGATTCACTCCCCATCCAGTGACTGGCTGGATGCTTGGTTGGCAGCTGGGGTTAAACAATGACAGTGACCCATGATAAATGGTGACTCTGTGGGCTCGTTAATCCTTGACACTACTAGCTTTCCTCAGATTGCCTGAAGAGGGAAGAGAAGCTAGGGCAGGAGCTAGTCAAACTACTGTAGAGCAAGCCATTTGCAGTCCTGAATCAGTTCCTGAATCTCTGGCTGATGCAAGAGAACTGCTATTTTTTCTTCAGAGTAGTCTGTCTCATTACAGAAAACTCATATTTTGAGGGACTGATTCTGTAAGGTGCTGAGTTTCTGAGTAACTGCTTAGTGAATGTGCCTAACTCCCACCCAAAGCCAGTGGGAATTCAGGGTATTCATTTCATTCCAAATACCCTTTTTTTATTCTTAAAGATGGCTTGATAAAAGGAGCTTGTAAAACAGTGATTTCTTTTCTTTCTGTTCTGTGGATATAAGTTATAAGATATGCATGAAAAGGAAATGGATAACCATTTTCTGTTTTAA